TAATGAGAAAAAAACTTTGATATCAGGATCTGACACAGTCCTGCTCCTGATAATAATTTGATGCTGATGTGTTAAGATCAAGTTAATCTAAAAAATTCTGAGTTTTCTAGCAAATTTTTGACTTTTAAAACTCAGAAATTTTCTTGTTTCTAAAAAAAACCTCAGAGAAAATGTTTTTTGTAGCAAATTTTAAACTTCTCAAACTCAAAGTTTTTTGCTGAAAATCCGTGAGATTAATGTTAAAATTTCGAAGGGTTTCTTGCAAACTTTTGGTTTTTGAAACTCGATTGAAAAGTTGAAAATTTGCTAGTAATAACAAAAACAATGTTTTTTAGATTATGCAAAGAAATATTCTAGAAAAAAACTTTGAAATTTATGAGTTTCTAAAGTCAGAATTTTTCCACTTTTTGGAAGTTTTTTTTCTAGAAAGTTTTGGAGATTAACCTCAACATTTCAATTTTATTTGCATTTCAATCTTAAAAATTTCAGAGATTTTCCAGAAGATTTTTGACGTTACTTTCAAAATTTGTGTTTTTTTCTAAAAGTCATTTGGCTTTTCAAACTCAGAAATGCCCTTGTTTTTGTTTTATGGCAGAAATGTACTCCTTATTTTTTTCTACCGTGATACGGCGTCTTAAGACACACATCCATAACGAAGTTGCACGTTTGAAGCTGCATCCCTCTGTGCGTCACCGCCGCTGACATTTCACCGGTTCAAACCACCCGAGGATTCCCGCATGAAAACAATCTTCTGCTTCGTGCTGCTTCCAGTCATTTTATTATGTGCGCCGTGTGGAGCTGGATGTGCGGTTATTTTTACCTCCTGTCCTTGTCCTCAGGTGTGCGGCGCTTCCCGGTGGATCAGACGCGTTACAGCTGCTGCTCGGTCACTCTTCGTCCTCTAGCTACAAAAGCAGAACCTTTCACACAAACTGCATGAAAAACTGGAAAAGTTTCCCTCAGACGTTTGTTACTCTGGATATTTCTGTGTTTGTGTCTACAGTTGGTGGGTGTGAGAGAAAGTGGGTCAGCAGCTCGCCCTGGTTACTGCTCAGTTGAACCGATAAATCATATCATTACGCTGCAGACAGAGTTGGTCCTCTGTTCTTTTACGACCTCGGAAATGTTTCCAAAAAACGCGGAGGAAAAAGGTTTTTCTCCATTTATCTGAACAGCTGCGTGTTGTTCTCAGTTAATAAAAACTGCTGCTAAAATGACCAAATACAGCTAAAACCAACAGAAGCTGCTCAACTGGCTGTAGCCTTGAATTGATTTTTTTTCCTTTTTTTTTTTACAGCAGCTCAGTTCATTCATAAATTTAACAAAACCGGCCATTTATAGTATTAGAATTGAACTATTTTCCATTTAAGCTTCTGGTTTTAGAGCATCTTGTCTTACATTAAAGGAGAACTGTTGTGGAAAATTCACATTCTACAACTTTTATTATTCCATTTGGGTCTCAGCAACAACACCCAAATGTTTATAGTAACAACTTCATGTTTTTTGGTGTCTGGAAAATGAGCTGTTTTCAAAACCTCTGGCTTGTTAAGTCACATTCAAATGGCACAGCCGTTACCCAGCAACCTAAACAGAGTTCTGCCCATTACCTAGCAACCTAAACAGAGTTCCTCCCGTTACCTATAGCAACCCAAGGAGTTCCTGCATGTTTGGTCAGCTGGTTTTACCGCTGTATGTGCTGTACAATGGCTGCTGGAGAGGACAAGTGTAGAAACCACTTGCTGCATTTTTGTTGGTTGTGCAGATGCTAATGCTTTTTAAAGATGTTTGGATGCATAATTGCACATTTATTTGAGCTATTATCTACTTAATTTACCTTTGGGATCAATAATCAATGGATTTTGCTTATTTTTAATTTTATGTTTAATCTCTTTTCAGCCATTTTTACCTGTGAGTGTAAAGGTTGAGTTGGGGGCGTGGCTTATTTGGATTTAAAGTGACAAGACGCCCTTTAAAAGCGTATTCTGAAAGGAAGAGACTAAATTCTCATTATCTAAGAATGATTTTGTGCAAAACTTTGTGATGAACATGCTTTGTATAGACCATAAACCTATCCTAACCTGTTAAAGGAAGCATAGTAGGTCATTTTTAACATCATTTTACCTCATATTGTTGGTGTTGGCGTTCATAAATCAGGTATTTTAGCTTCATTTTTATCTTTAACGTGTAGACGACGTGTGGCTGAGGCAGAAAAAGGAAGTAAGTCACTTGAAAAATGATAAGTGTGAAGATTTTGCATAGAGGAAGAAAGGATTCTTAGTCAAAACGGAGCAGCAGAGTGTTTGGGAATACTGGGCCACAAAGCTTTTTAGTCAGATCAAAGCTAATCCATATTGGACTTGGTAAAACCCTCGACAGTCAGTGGGAATCCTCTGCCTTCCTCTCCGTCTGTTCCATCTTCCTCAGCGCTCCGTGAAACCGGTTGGACTTTCAGCACCTTTTCTCTACTTGAGCCGGCGTGGAGAAACTAGGTCAGCCATGGAGGAAGAAGTGAGCAGTCTGGCCTCCAGACTCGGTTAAGGAGGGAGTGTTTTGCCTCCAGGGAGGCAGAGGATGGAGAGGCTTTAGCTGCGGGAGCCGATGCCACTGACAAGGTATTGACCTGGCAAGCTAACGAGGATCCGCTCAACTCTTGGTGCTGAAGTAAAGTCTTTACTGGCTGCAGGCGTCATGGCTCCTATTTAACACTGAGGTTCATTCCCACCAGCCGTCTTTAGTCCACTTTAATCCAACTCTTAAAGGTCCGGTTTGTTTGTTGAGGTGTGAATGTGCAATCATACCAAAAGACTGAACTCTGCTCTGCCTACGAACTTCATCTTAGTTTGATTAATGTGAACTCTGGTGCGGTTTGAATGTATATGTGAACACCAAGCGGACTGCTCCAAAAGCAGGAAGTGGATTACAGTGCAGGGCATTCTGGGTAAATACGACCAAAACAAACAAGTCTAGTGCTAGCTGGAGAAAAAGACAAACGAGAAATCCTACAAAATCTGAAATCTGACACTGCTCTATTTTTGTTTGTATTTTGTGAAGAGTGAAGTTGTGTTCATGTTGACCTTGGAGGTTTTTGTGTTGTTTCCTTCAATGGTTCTTGGTGCAGCGCCCCCACAGGTGAGAAGGGGAACAGACTTTTCAAAGGGTTTGGTTCATTTGACTGAGTGCAGTGGGAAAGAAAAACACAGCAGCTGAAAATGTAACAAACCAATCGAACAGAATCTAGGTGTGAAAACACTCTAAAACTGAATCATAACGTCAAAACTCTCTTTATTTGTCAGCTATATGTTTCAATTTTGGAGCAATATTCAAAATATATATTTTCAGAAAACCCAAAAAAGTGCATTAAATGCTACTATTTTATAAAATTTAAACACACTGTGAACTACTTCTCAGTCCTTTGCTCCTAAAACAGTTGTAAATGGCATAAGGAGGAGCATTGTTGTGATTACGTCCTAGAAGTTTCACACAGAGCAGGAGCTTCTTACAGAGAGAAAAACTAATCATGTTTAATTTTTACAGTATTTTTATAACGGCTGAAGGTAAAATAGTTACTAGATTGTGATATAAAATGACCCTCTGTATCTGGAGAAGACATAATGTCGCCCTTTAAGAGAGAGAAAGAGACTTAACTAATCTGTAGCAATGTTGGAAAGAAAAGTGGGCTAAAATTCATTCTGTGTTCTTCTTGTATCCATGCACAGCTTTTCCAAATTGCTCTCATGTTTGTCTAATAAATTATTATGAAATGTGAGATGGTATACTTTCTTTCTAAAGTGAAATTCTTTATATTCAGGGAGGATTTCAGTAGATATTTGATGTTTTTTCTGGTCCTGTTATGTTTTTCCATCCAAGGTCGAGTTTGATCTGCACTTAAATGAACCTGCCAGCAGGACTGAATGATCTGCTCTGAACATGTTTGATGTGAAACCTCTTCTTATCTCTCTCCTGCTGCATCGGTGTCCCTACGGGGCGCCATGAGAGCTGTAATTACCTGAGATCTTGTTTCTGATAAGGGACACCGACGCTCAGTATTGCGGGACAATCAGTGGTCACCTTTTTCTATTTCTATCATCGTTTCTCTCCATCTCACTTCGTCCTCTCCCGCTTTTTACGCCTGAAGGGACAGCGTCTCTGTCATGATGGCAGCGTAGAAAAAAAAGAGAGAGAGGAAAATCTACTCGTTTTTCTTCCTTTTTTTCCTCCTCAGCAGTTTTCACACTTGACAATTTGGGCAAAGAAACAAAACGTAAAGGCGGCTTGGCCCTGTTTGGTATTCATTGTTTCCACGGTGGTATTTTGACAGGACTTAATCATCTGTAAAAGCAAACTATCGCCGCTTCTGCATGAATTAACACCGCAGACGTGATTATGCAAGAAGAGCCGGATGTGGAAGGAGGGTTCCTGGAGTATGTGGCCAGAAGGAGAAAAAGGAAACAGCCACAGTCGACACAAATACCGAAGGATCTCATGAATACACTGCAGTCACCTGCTGGATGATACAGACGTTTCTGCATCATTCACAAGACTGCCAGTTGTTTCTCATATGTCATTATAGGGCTGCAACGAACAGTTATTTTAGAAAACAGCTATTCTATCAATTGTTCTGATGATTAATCAATTATTCTAGCGGTTAATCAGATACAAATCTGCCATGTTTTTGTCTTGGATTAACCGATTAACTGATGTATAATTAAATTGCAGAAAGTGCTTAATCGGATTTTTTTTCCTTTTTTCTATAATTTGAAATTAATCTTAAGGTAGAACTGCCACTTGAAGTGTTTTGAATTCAGCAGATTTGCAAAGTTTTTTTTTAAATCTTAAATTCAAAATGCAAAACAATAAACCATGCAAATTATTGAACTAATTTTAATTCATCATGCTATTAACTGATTTATTTCTTATTACAACAGGCCTTATCTTGTGATTAAGAGGCTTTTATTTTGACATGCAGTTTCTAAAGACTGGTCTTTCTTCTTCTCTTGCAGATGGAACATTTCGCCAACTGAAGGACAACAGTGAAGTTGAAGACGATTGCAAAACATCCCAACCTGCTCTGCATTGAAACCCGGGCTACCGGCTGCTGGATGCACCTTTCCAACATGGAGACTCTTTCCCAGGACTCCATTCTGGAATGCCAGATCTGCTTTAACTACTACAGCCCCCGGCGGCGGCCCAAACTCCTGGACTGCAGGCACACCTGCTGCTCCGTGTGCCTGACCCAGATGCGCAGCACCCAGAAGGAGATCCGCTGCCCTTGGTGCCGCGGCGTCACCAAGCTTCCCCCCGGCCTGTCCGTCTCCCAGCTGCCAGACGACCCGGACATCATCACCGTCATCGCTATACCTCACGCCTCGGAGCACACGCCTGTCTTCATCCGCCTCCCTAGCAATGGTTGCTACATGCTGCCGTTGCCGGTCACCAAGGAGCGGGCGCTCGGCCTGCCTGGAGACCTGGGTTGCCGCTTTCTTCCTGGCAGCCAGCAGAAGGGCATGACGGTGGTGACGGTGCCCGAACAGCAGCCTCTGGGCCTGGCGATGGGCCTGGAGGGCGTCGGGCTGGACGGCAGCGAAGGCGAGAGGAGAGTTCCCGGCCCTGTTGGAGGAGGAAAGGGTTCCACATGGTCCGGCGTTTGCACGGTTATTTTAGTGGCGTGTGTGCTGCTGTTCCTGTTGGGAATCGTGCTGCACAACATGTCCTGCATCTCCAAACGCTTCACTGTTATCTCCTGCGGCTGAGGGAGGTCGATTGGACCTCCTGCGGACCTCTGCCCCCTCCTCAGTGGCCCAGATTCTTCTGAGGAGAGGAGACTTAGCTTAACATCACAGGAAAACCAGGCAACGGCGGTTTTCCCGATGAGGGAACAACGAGGGCGAGAAGGAGATTTACAAACTGTCTGTCAGCATTGTTTGTTGTTTTCAATTATGAAAACTGAAAATGGATATTTTCACCAGCTCTGTGTTGGTTCTAAAAACTGCCACATCTTTGTGTTTTCTTCAAGAACGTTCTGAAAGTCACTGTGGATCTGTTTTTAGACAGCTGATTGTGTTTTCCTAGAGTGACGTAGACACCCATTACACTCGAAGTGACTGGAACGCCTGTTTGCTCTGTGGTTTGTAAAAGTTCATCAGTTATCTGTGTTTTTATTGGCCATAATGAGGCTTTGAGCGCTGTGTCTTAAAGGTGACCTGTTATGCTTCCTTCAACAGGTTTGGATAGGTCTATGGTCTGTATGAAATATGTTTGTCACTTTTTTTGCACAAGTCATTCTTAGATGAGATTTTAGTCTATTTTGAGCTCCTTTCATAATGAGCTGTTTTAGGGCATCTTGTCTCTTTAAATCCAAATAAGCTGCTGCTGGCCACGCCCCCTTACTCAACATTTAGACTCACACAAGAAAATGGCTACAAACAGATGCGCAATTATCCAACCGTACATATTTGAAAAGCAGAAATGGAGCCTCCTGCACAACCAATAAACCAGAAGTGAATAACTAAACATTTGGTCTTTTCCAGCAGCTATTTTACTGATACAGTGATAAAACCAGCTGACCAAATGTCCTGGACCCAGCTTGGTTTGTTACGTCACATTCTAGAGGGTTTCAAAATGGTTAATTTTCCAAACACCAAAAAACACCAGCTTGGGATTTTTTTAAGCACTTGTGCTGTTTTAGAAGCAATTGAGATCCAAATGGAAGAGTAAAAGCTTGTAAGATGGGAATTTTGCATAATAGGTCCCCTTTAAAATCCAGAACCTGGACTGTTCTCTGATTCGGTGGGAATCAACATCCACATCTTCCCATTTGAGTTTCTTTGTTTTCCTGTTAAAGAACCTGTTTAGGCCGAATTGTTGAGCAGTATATTGTACAGCTGAACTATACACAGCTAGCTCTGAGATGCTTTAGGATTGTAAAAGTGTGATTTTTTGTTTAAATCAGCCAATAGAAGTTTTTTATTGCTTTACTTATATTTTAATTAAAAACATTTGTTTGTTCAAGCCTCACAAATCTCAATGTTTTTTTTTGTATATTAGGTTTTGGCTTTTAGGTTGCACCAAACAAGCAGTTCAATCCTTGAGAGCTGCTATCCTTCAACCTTTGGATCCTTCTTATCTCTAAAACCTTAAATTCTCCGGCATCAGTCAATTATTTCCGGTTTTTATCTAGCAGAAATCCTATTTTTCACAGCTGACTGAACTTAATAGCTCACTCTTTTTCTTTGTTTATCCTCAGGAATCTCTTTTTCCTTCAAATCTTTATGGATTTATTGTCACAGAGGTAATTAACATTCCTCAGGGGCCAATTGCAGCCAGCTTTTCTGCAGCATGCCACTTCGGTTAACTACAGCCAGCAGCAGCAGCGCTTTGCAATGAAGAGCTCCACATGCTTGGTGTTTATTTCTTTACTCTAAGGATCATTGAAGGGTTTTGTTTATCTCCAAGTGCCTAAAGACTGGACAAAATTTCTAAGATTCTCACTTTTCCTTTCATTTTCATTGTAGATAATTACTTATATCACACTAGAATTATCAAGCAGTTTTTCGTTCTACTTTATAGCCCATTTAAAGCTAAAGAAAAGTTATAGTTTTTGTTTTACACTAATGCTAAACCTCACACCATCCACAATGAAGGAGAAATCTGAAAATAATTGAAGAAAGCAAACTAGTTCACATTCACACTGACAAAAGTTACCGCCTCCAACTGGTGCTAATCACCGCTAAACTGGACGTGACGCCATAACTTGATTGTTTGCCCTGCTTAACATCAAAATATGTAAATCTGCATTTTCAGAATGTTGGCAGAGGGGTTCCTAGAGTTTCCTGTTACTTTGGTTTAAGTGACATTATTGATTTATAGGTTTTCTTTACAGCTGATGTTTGAAAAATCATTTGTGAGAAATGTGAACAGCGAAACGAAGTTGCAGCTTACTTTCATGCTTTACAAGAAGGCAACAAATTCCTTTAGTTTAGGGTTTGGCATTAAGACAAATTGAGAGAACAAAATAATTTGAATATAGTTGAAACCAGAAGTTTACATACACCAAGGGTTCCCAAACCTCTGCATGCCATGGACCCAAACATTAGCTTCTGGCTTAGGAACCTTTTACCACAGATGCTACAACATATCTAAAGAAACAAGTTTTTCTCACTTTTATTCACTATTCATGCTAAACAAATGCACTATTCTTGCATTTGTTTAGCATGAATGCTGCCTCATACCTTCTGATTTTAATTGGCCATGAGGTCTTTTCCTCATCCATATAGCGCTTGCTGTCCTAGCTTGAGGAGTAAAGTAGCTTAGCAGCCAATCAGAAACATGAGCATGTTAAAAAACGTTTAAAGA